TTTGGGTAGTGGTAGTCAGGGCAAAAGCAAACAATGTGGTTGCGGTCACCACATTTCAAACATTTTCAGTAATCCATTTTTGCCATGACGATTGTTCGATGCCCATCTCTTTCCATGGCTCTCCGTTTGCAATCCTTGGATGTGCTGGCCATGGTCTGCGCCCTCTACCTCTTCCACCTGTGGAGGAGGAACTGCGTCCACCTTGCGGGGAACCATAACCCCTACCTCCTGCGTAATAGCTACCTTCACTACTAGTCCCTCGGGTGCCCATCCGCTTCCTCCACCTCTTCCTCGGCCCCTCTTCCTCCTTGTCGCCCTCCCTTGTCTGCTGCAGCAGCTGAATAGTCCCCTCCTTGGGCTGCCCGGTTGCCGTTCTTCTAGTCCATGATCTATGTTTTTGTAGGGCAGTTCCTCAACTCCACCGCCCTCAAATGTGACCAGAAGACTATCCTTCCCTTGTATACTGCCAGATATCGTTCTCTTCTTCCAGCAACCTCCTTTCTGTAGGTCCTTCCAATAATGGCAATAGTTTGCCGCTTGGAGGAAATTGGTGTGGTCTAGGACCATCTTATTAAACTTTTCATATGTCATGCCCCCCTCCTTGGTTTGGGCATACAATTTGGATCGATGGGGTTCGGGAAGTACACGTGCGAAGTTGTTCAAGATCTGTGTGGGAGTGAGATCTTGCTCGGGGCACTGCAGGAGTTCGTCCATAGTGGCCTTAGTGACGACACACTCTTCATTTTCGATCACCTATGTTGAGGATCAAATGTTCTATATGTTTGGCTAGGTTCTTGTCTTCAAACCGATTCTTGAAGGCCAGGAAGAAATGTTCAATGAGAGTCCATTGAGAGTATTATACCATCGATGTGCACCTTGCGTCCTTCATTAGGGAGAGAGCAAAGTTCACAGCATCTTCCCAGGCCTGAGCTTGTCACCAGGACACGGTCCCAGTATGGTATCAACTGTCCATATAGATAGGTGCCCATGTGTGCCTCCTATTTTTTGTTATAAGTCCAGGGGATCTTTACCTTCACCTTCTCTCTCCTTTCTCCCCCTTTGGACTGTCCTACTTCCCCCTTTGGATCTCCTTCCCTTTTAGGGCCTTTGCCTCCCTTCCCATCATCACCACTATCATCTCCACCTCCACCAGCACTTCCTGACTTTATCGTGGCGATGGTGTCTACTAATTTCAAGGTGAATATTCCTTTTAGTTGCTGTGCATATCCTGCGAAGCGCTTGTCTATCCGGTGGGCGGCAACACTTAGGTAGTTGTTCCAAGTGGGTTTGAACTCGTGATTATGCTGTCCGAGTCGAGTGACAGACGTAATTGTATCGGCAAGTTCCTGGTTAGTATGTAGCAGGGTGTTGACCAATAGGGTGCGGTCGTCTTTCCTCGTACCCTCATGGCCCTTCTGTTCCTTGAGTTGACACTCATTCTCTTCCCCCTCAGATTTCAATCTCCTCTTTTCATCCAGCGTCGCCCTTTTCTTTATCAGGAGACGCTGGCACAATACATGTTCTCTTTCCTGCGTCAGAACTCTCTCTCAGCGTCGTCCTCTGCTGCTTCCAATTTTGCCGTGAGTTCAACCCTCTCGGCCTCTCACTCCTGTGCTCACTCATCCTTTTTTGAACCCAAATTTATCCATCCATGTTTCGGTATCAACTGGGTAGAAATGCAGTTCACTGGACTCTCCCCTTTTGGCACACATTCCTCCTTCCACCCTGTTCCTGGGGTAGGCCAGCCCCACCTCTTCTTCTCCTTCTTTTACTACTTTGATCTGCTGTTTCTGTTTTTCTAGAAAAGAATTCTCCTCCAATTCCCTTCTCCAATCTCTCTTTCTCCTCTTCTTCTTCTTCTTCTTCTCCTCCTCCTCTTCTTCTTCTTCTCCTCCTCCTCCTCCTTCGCGAGCCTGCTATCGGTTTCAGCCTGCTGTTCGGCAGTGTACGGCTGGGTGGACGCTCTGGACCGACTCACAAAATGCATGCCAAAGGTCCAAGCGAATCCCAGTGGAAAGAGGAAACGGAGGAGGGGGGCCCATAGAGGGGACAGGGCCAGGAAGCCAAACATCGGGTAGTCATCCTTGGCGAGGGTCGGCACAGGAAAGTTGACGCCGCCTCCTCACCACACCTACCCCTCAACTCCTTGCAGTTCTCAATACTTACTCTGATCCTAACCTAATCAGGGTCTTGACAACATATTCCCTTCCCACTTCTGTCACTACAGCTCTCCTGACAACCGGTGGGCAACCGACAGTTTAAGGTCAGCCAGCACAGACCTCAGGAATTCTTTAAGGACGCAAACAGGACGTTGTGCCCACTGATATGAAGGATTGCTCTCAATACTTGGACGGTTCCTTGTTGATTGCAATGGGGAAAAAACAAAAGGCCTTTCCAAAATCTATGAAAGTGAAGGCCGCGTTTTCTTTGGACTGTCGGGTTTATTGCACCATCTCGTGTATCAGTATGATGTTTTCTGCTGCATGAACCCAGTCTGGGATGGGTGTATCGGATCTAATGAGGCAGGAATCATTCTGTTTGCCGATGCTTTGGCCACCATTTTGTATGTAACAGTGAGGAAGGCGATTAGTTCCATATTCAATTTGTCTCCCTCCTTGTAAAGGAGGAACAACACCCCTTGGCCCACCAGTTCCCCCATGCTGCCTGTACGCCATACTTTTCTGTAATCATCCACAAGGTCCAAACTCAACTGATCCCACAGTGACTCCTAAAATTCTTTCGGGAGACCGTCCAATCTGGGGTTTTCTCCTCCGGGTCCCACTGGGTACCTATGGCCCCAAGTAGGCTGGCAACCCTAACCACTTCCCCACAAGGGGGAGGAGCCTTTCCTCCAAGAGAGATCGGTCTCTGACTCACCAATCGCAGGAAGATCAACTTATGACAATGAGTGCGGCTGCTGACTCGAATGACAAGATGACATCAACAGAAATCAACTTGCAGCAGATGTCTCCAGGAAAATATGTGGGAAGGTACCATGCACAACAAAATTCAGATTGCATAAATGACAGGGCCAGGGCAAAGAAGCACTTGACTCCTTGAGCGCTCCCTCGATGCAGGTGAGTACACCTCTTGCTCCTTGCTGTGCACCTTCTTCTTTGGCCCTCCACTTTCAGTCAAACCCCGATCTCTCTTTCTTCTTCTCTTTCTTTTTTTTAATCGCCCGCCGGTCTTCTTCCTTGCTGGCGCCTCAACTCCGAGCGGATGCAGCAGGAACCAGCTCCGATACCACTGAAATGAGCCAAGCACTCGTCAAGTTCCACCTCACATGCATCAATGAACATTCACATGAGAGTTCACACGTGGGAAGCTAACCCGAGATACAATCAACACATGAAGATGTTGTCTCTCTTCGTCTCTCTCTACCCTGGATCGTCACCCTGGATACACCCATTCAGGTAAGCTTCCACCTTGGTGGCTATGGCTGCCCACATCCTTGGCTACCTCTAGCCTGGCTATGGATTATGTCACAAGCACCCTCTCCTCCTTCGGGCGAACAGTGCCCAAGTTGCCTTCACGCACAAGCAGCAGCAGCGCTTCCGCATGTCGCAACTGAGCAAGTGATGAGCCGCTGCACTGTAGCAGCTAAATATAGGGCTTGGCTTGGCTTGGCTTGGCCTGCTTCAGACCGGTACTGGTCAGCTGCGGCCTGTCTGCTGCAAACATTTTGTTGGTCCGGTAGCTTCTGGACTTTCCTGGGACATGCTGCAAAATTGGACTTGGGACTATCGGACTGGACTGGATGCTTCTGGACTTTTCTTGTCGGGTACCGGACGGACTCCTACCGACCTACGACGCTTTGGTACCGGCACCTACTGACCTACGGCATTTCGGTCTCTGGACCCTGAGGCCTATCCTACTGGACAGCCATGGGACTTGGGACTCTTTAGGACCCTGGGACCGGGACTGGGTGTCTGCTGTGTGAATCCTTCCAATTACATAACTCGAACATGAACATCTGAAAATGTTTCAAAAATCTTTGTGAATAGAATGTTGCAGACAGGTTGTCATGTGACTGACATGAATTCACATGAGACTGACGTAGTTTCACTAGAAAATGATGCGACTCTTATGAAAATGTTTCACAAATCTTTGTGACTAGAATGGTGCGGACAGATTGTTAAACCACCAGTATCTCCAGGTCCTCCGAAGGCTTCCCCTGTACATTCGACGGCCGCACTTTTGATGTACCTGCGTGGTGGTAACCAGTTTGAATATGGTGTATAACATTATTGGTCCAAGCAAGCTGGATGAGTGGACGTTGACCAGCCAGCATAGAATGTTAGACATTAGTGAATGAAAAGGAACTGGACTATCAGGGGTTGCAACCTCAGCTGGAATTCTTCTCTGATTGTAATAGTACTGGTCTAGAGGGGATCAGAGGATAAAACTTCTGGATCCGGAGAAGCGGTCGGGTCATGTAGAGGTCGTTGCACTGGCACGCAACAGAGTCAAGAAGTTATGAACCTCCATGTAGTAGGTGTTTCTGACACCAGGGCAAGTGTTGAATCTCATGTAGTAGTTCTGCTGACGGTGCAGCAAAATGTGATTTGGTTCTGAGAGCAAAGTGGAATGATGTACCCCTGGTGTCATCTCAAGAGAGTCCGCTAGAGGTCATTTCTGATTGTGTACGGGCTAGCACAGGGGTGGTCGTGAGAACGGTGTTGTACCCCTGGTATGATCGGAGTGTGAGGAGAATTGAATAAGAGTACTCGGATGTATGCCGCTCCCATGAGGGAAGGAAAAGTGATCGGTAATGGGCTTTCTTTTCATGTGGTGATGATTGTAATTTGTGTAGCGTTATTGGTGGTGGTGATGCGGGAGCAGGTGTGCTGCTTGTGTACGCTTTGGTCCTAAAGGGGAAGCTGAAAAAGTACAGAGAGGCAAATGCGGGTTGTTTTGGGGTCACTCGCTGGGGAAAGAGATAAGAAAGAGGGCATCTGACCTGGAATGTTGGCCTTCTCGTCATGCCTGGCACTCAGGCCGTCGGGCTCTTGATTGGTACGGATGATCTTCCTGCAGATAAACAGTTGAAGTATTTGGCTGCGATCGTTGGACCACTCTGTGAACAGGTGAGCAAGCTTCTGCAGTTATCTATGGAGCGCTTGTGCGTTAATGAATGGAAAAAACTTTGTACCTCCTTTTGTTGCGTTTTTCCGATTGTTCCTTAACTGCTTGATTGGTTGGACCCTATATAGGACATAAAGCTTTCTCAATCATATTATATGCTTGAGTGGTTGGCTTGGGTAGAGTACGTGTGCTGGTTGCTCTAGAGATGGTGGATGCTCTTTCTTTTCTTAGCAGGTAAAAGCTGCAGAAGTCTCAGAAGCTCGATGGCGATTCGTTGGCGAATGCCTGTGTTCTTGATGGGACAACGAGGAGCACTGAGGAGAAAACGTTGGTTCGACCTGTAGCTTTGATGATTGCAAGATAATTAGGTGCACACATCCATGGGAGTGATGAAGTCATTCGGCTGAGTAGGCCTGATGTGCGGGAAGTGACAGAACTTGTGCGTGGTCGTATGCATGTTCATGTGATGTTGCCAAGTGTTGGTGTGTAGTTTGCTCGTCAAAAGAAGGGATGGTCATGAGACCCTTCAGTTCTTAGGAATGTCAGATGCCTTTCATAACAAGACCAGACCCCCCCTCTGCCCAACTGGCCCGGGCGTCCATGCCCAGCATAGATAAACCCATAAATCAACTCACAAGAAAATCCACTACCAAAGAGTCCAATTTCCAACCAAAGCCATGAATTAGGAGCCCATTTCTGTATTGCTAAGCAAGTTGTCAGCGTCTACTCAGAGGATCCCATTTTCATCTCCACACCGACACCTAGCACACCCCAGTCAGAAAGTATTCAGTAATAATTCAATTCATTCAATAGCAGATCATTTTCATGGCAGTCTTTGGCATATGAATTCATGCGAAGCTGCCTAAAGAAATTGAGTGCTATGATGGATGCTTTAGCACTCTTTCCCTCTTGTCCAAAGTATAGTACCCTTTACTAATCCATCTATCTGGCGGTCACATTTTCAGCAGGAGAACTTGCCCACCCTGGGTTCAATTCATTTCCATGATTCGGTATCACCGATGGAATGCTGACCAGCAAAAACAGAACAAGGCAGCCAAAAGAGGAAGCACGTAGCGTTTTACCATCTGTTACATCCTTCAGCCTGAGTTCATCATGCATGTGGTTAGTAGAGGCCCCCAGTTTTCACCCCACCCCCTCTGGTCTTATGGGGGGTTTCTGATGTTTTACATTCCTGTTTGCTGTTGTCGTGTGCTGAGTTTGCTCCACTGTGGTGGCAAATTTGGCTTGGTCCTTCTGGCTTTCTCGGGCGACCCCCCCTCTGCCCAACTGGCCCGGGCGTCCGTGCCGAGCATAGATAAACCCACAAAAAGAGGCGAGGATCCCGAAAAACTCCTGTTGGGTTAACATGTGTTACATGAACGCTGGCAACAGGGGTGGTATGTTAAAGGTGGTAACAAGCTTGTTGGATCAAGCCTTGGTAGAAATTGTCTTTGGATGATTTGCACAGTTCAAGAAGAGGGAGGTGCACCTGGTCCTGTACTTATTTGAATAACCTTTAGCTTTTAGTCAACGCTCCTTTGTCTGTGCACGAGAAGAATAAAGAGTGCAAGCACTGCAAGGTGGCTTGTGATTTGAACTCAAAACTCTGCATCAATCAGAATTGGAGGCCATTATGGAAATGACATGCAGTTCATGCTTTTGTGCTTCAGTCAGGTCAGAGAGTTTGCTTACTAGAGTTGGTTTTGCACTTGCTGGTCTTTGTGGTTTTCTCTCTCTGTGTCTGAGACAAACAGGCGAAAAACATCCTCGTGAACCAGACCTCTGCGGACGACAACGTGGGGAGCCCACAAACAGCAGGTGCCTTGATGCATTTCATTCATGCACTAGGCAGTATCAGCAAGGTAGACAACCAGCAGGAGCTGTAACTCTAGTGATGTGTTGTTCATTACTTCCCTTCTAAGTCAGGCTGCCTCCATTTCTTATGGGAACAGCTCATACTTGTGGTGCACCATGCGGATGGATTTCTGTGCGTGCACCGCGCACAAGGTGAGGTGCTCTGGGGTGTGCGTGACTTCACGTCATGTGTGTGCACCGGTACAGGCTTCTCTTCTTTGTGAGTGTGTTCCAATATATCCCATAGCGTATCCGCCACACACTCCACTGTGACAGTGGTACAGCAGGTGCGGCCATAGCCACTCATATGCCGTCTATGGCCAGCCATTCGATGCTCATGCTACCTTCCCTACAATACTGGACTGTGAGAAGTAAAACGACCAGACAACCCACAGGTAAAGTGAGGAAGGACAACAAACAGGCAGGTAAAAGGCAGCAAGGCAAAAGCAGTGAGGTAAACAGAAGGCTGGAGGGCATGGGGGAGGTGGGAGGGCAGACAATACGTAAGCGCACAAGGCAGGGAAGGCGAAAAGAAAAGTACGAGTACGGGAAAAGAAGTGCTGATGATGAAAGATTGTTTCGTTGGAGTTGCACCGAGTCATCAGGAGGCCGAACCCTCGACAATCTGCGGAATCCACCATTTGGATGCTTTGGGTCATACCCTCCGACCTTTGTCGAAAGTGCTGTTGGACAGCCCACAAACGGAACATAGCAAGCAACACAGCGATTCAGGAAAGTGCCAGACAAGGCTACCAGGGCAACCCAACTGCACAGCGTCAAAACTACTGCATGGGACTACTGCACATGCGCATGGGCAGCAAGGCAACAGCACAGTGAAGCAGGCAGGGGCATGGCAAGCGGGGAGGCAGCAAGGCAGCAGAGGAGCACAGACAAGGCAGTCCACAAATTCAACACGGCCCGAAGCAATCGATCACCTGCCATGCTGCAGACAAGACAGTCCACAAATCCAACACGGACGAAAGCAGTTCATCACCTACCATGAAGAACCCTGCAGCCTGTTTGTCCCCACCTCCTGAGCCGGGCAGTTCTTCGACCAACATCTATCAACACCTATAAGCAGGCATCACTGACATACGCACCGAGTGGGCTCCATAATAGTACAGTAGGCATCAGTGTTGCGTACCCCAGTGGTCAGCGCCGCTCGACTGGTTGTATGCCCACCAGCCGACCGGTTGGCTGGTCGGCACCTACTCCCAAACTGCCAACCAGCACCCTCATACCCCCTCCAATACCCCCCTCTATACCTGTCTCTTATACACATCTAGATGTGTATAAGAGACCCTCTATACCCCCTGCCCCCCCCCCCCCCAAAAAAAAAAAAGAAAAAAAGAAAAAAGAAAACACAAACCCACAGCGCCCCCCATCCCTGTAAGTTTCTCAGTGGGTATGGGCTGTGTACTCAGCAAGCGCAGTACAGCCTCCAACTCTGATTTGAAAAAAAAACAGTGGGTGGCTGTTTTCTGACTGGTCGGCAGACCGCCGACCAGTTGGCCCTGCTGGTCGGCTGCAAAATGGTCGGCTGTTGGTGTTGGCGGTTAGCAGCTATGCAACCCTGATAGGCATTCTAAAAAAGCAACCACTGGCTGTTTAGCAAATTAGCACTGCTTAGAGGTGCTTGCTTGGACGTTAAAAAAACAAAGAAGAAAGACACAAAAAGCAAGTGTGAGTATGACGTATCTTTTTTTTTTTTTTTTTTTTTTTTTTTTTTTTCCCGAAGATTTTGTGGACCACTTCTCGATATCTACTGACATTCTATTGAAGTTCTTCCGGGCGAGTGTAATGCTTCGCGACTTACCCCAACCGGATTCTGCCATTTGGGATATTGGCAGTCCAATAAGCAGAGCATTTTTCGGATCCCATCTACAATGCCCCGGAAAATGTGATGGAAATGCGCGGCGAGTCCCTAAAATCAGTAGAGTTTGCGTTGGCATTGGCGGAATTCGAATAGCCATAGAAACGTACGTGGAGCTCGTTGGAATCACCTGCGGACCAAAAAAAAGGAAAACCTAAACTGGAGCCCGCGCATTTCCCAGAAAGGAAAGCGTTTGATAGGATTCAAATAAAAACTGTGTTTTTAACTTTTTAGTAGGTCTGGGTTTTTTATGTTCTGTTTCAACGTTTCTGTTCACTATAAGCTAAACCGGCTGGTGCTGCCGGGACAACTCCAGGTTGAATTGTGAGGTCCACGGCCTCGTTATCATTTTGCAATGATATTGAATGTGTTCCTTTTTTTCGTTTTTTAAAAAAAAGAGGAAAACATTGATGCACCAGGGCATACTCTGCTTTTTTGTTTGATTCGGGAGCGTTGGGCCTCACTCCAGTACAGAAATTTGAACTGTATCCGGAAGGCTGACGGTCCAGATACATTCACAATGTCGGTCCATCTGTTTTCTTTTTTTTGCTTTTGAGTTTTGTCGGCATCGGGCGTTGCTCGACATAACATTGAAAATGTTCTGGAGGCGTGATGCTCTGGAGGCGTGATGCTCTGGATGCATTTGTAATTTAAGTTGTAAGATGGCATCTGGGCTGGGAAACATTCCAAATACATATGGGATGTTGGGATTTGAGCGAGTTCCGTCTTGAGAGGGCATTTCCCCCCCTCTCAATACTTCCTGGAGAGCGAGTGCCCTTTGGGGGCTATGGCCCACTTGGGTAGGTTTAGCTCTGGTTTCAAGAATTTTCCAACGTGGTCAGTTATGGATCCGTGTATACTCAAAACCAGAAGTAAACCTCTTTGAGTGCGGCACGGCGCCGTCTGTGCACTCACTTGCACGTTGTGGTGTACCCTCTTTCTCTCACTTCTGACGGACTGCACTTCGCTGAGCCAGTTCGTGCGCAGCCAATAAGTCGAGAGAAACCGCCTATTTTGTTGTTTTCACCGAGTGCGAACGAAACACTGCCCACACCGCCACACACACACACACACACATACTCACACACACAGAGAGAGAGAGAGAGAGAGAGAGAGAGAGAGAGAGAGAAATTAAGAGATGGAATCCAACAGATGGGAGGGAATGAAGAAGGAAGAAAGGGATAAAAGTGAGCACCTTGGGGGGAGGGGGGGAGAGAGAGAGAGAGATAGAGAGAGAGAGATAGAGAGAGAGAGAGAGAGAGGGCATGAGAGGGCATTTGACGATTGTTGATGACCTGATGCTCCCCTATGAGTGAGAGAGAGAGAGAGCGGGAAGAGTGAGGCAGGAAGAGATGGCGAGAGGGACGGGTCAGAGAGATCCCAGCAGCACGCCGGTCCTCACCATCCTCAATGTTTCAAAATGTTAAACAAAAAAAAAGGAAAATTAGGAAATAAAGATGATGATGCAGTATTGAATTTTTGTCACGCATTCTTTGAGCCCTTCTACTCTTTGACGTGCCTTTTTTTTTGTTTTTCTGTTTGTGGGGTGCTATATGCTGTCGTCGTCTCTTCGCGTTTGGAGTCTAATTGGTCGGCCTCTTCACGTTTGGAGTCTGATTGGTCCTCCCGTCACTCTATTGCTAGTATATCTGTTTTTTATTTTTCATTTTTTTTTAATAATTGGAATCTCCATTCTACTGATGGGGATGTTGGTAGACCGGTTGCATCTGTCCTCTTTCATTTTTTGTGCATGCTGGTGTGATGACATCAACATCAGACTTTTCTTCTGGGGAACCTTGATTTCTGTCCTTGACACGTGCCGGGCGCATGCACGACTGGTGTGGATGTGCCACAAGTATGGCACAGCTGTCTGACGAGTTAATGGGCAAGTCTGTGGATAGATGTGTGGAAGAGAACCGTGAGAAATCATGGTAATGTTGTGGGCGTGAATTCTTATGCTCAAGAAGTCCCCTTACTGTTCTCGATATTTGTGAACCATGTTTGGGTCGGTGGTGTTCATGTGCATGGAGGGAAGGACGCACGAGAAAGTGAATTATGTGTTTTAGATGTGGAGAGCAAATAGGTTGCCTCCTGTTGAATGTTTGAGCCCCCCTCGTCACCCTTCTCTTTCTGTGCATGAGATTCTCTGTCTAATGTGGCCATCTGTACTGTCTGACTGAAACCCTTCTCTTAACTGTCCTTGTGAGAGGGGGGGTGAAGAAGATGCTGAGGCAGAAGAGAACAAAGGAGTAGGGTACGAAGAATACGTGAGAAGAGCAGGAGAGGGTGGTCTTTTGGAAAATATATAAATTGCATGGCCATTCCGCTTCTCCTTCCCCTCCTCTTTTGTTCTGCCCTTCATCAGCAGTTTCATGATCGGTTTTGTCCTCTGCTGCCTGACGGGGAGGGTAAGTAGGGAAGGTGAAGAAGAGGGTAGGAGGAAGTAGATGAGGAGGGCAGCGTAAACTGGACTAAATCTTTTGGGCAACATGACTTGCGAGGGAGCTGGGTGAAACTGTCATATGAGGTTTGCTGCTGGGGAGGAGTGGGGGACTTTTTCAGTCTCTGTGATTGCATTCAGTTCTGTGAGCTGCTTCTGGGCTTGCCAGAGGTACTTCAGATGCGCTATGGCGGGTAGAGTGTGGGCAACCTGACTGGATATCATTTTGTAATTGTGCTTCCCCACAAATGTCAACGAATCGCCATCCGTGTTACGCTTCTCCCATGTGCCCCAAGTGAAATGTCAGGTCAGCGCAGGATTTTTTTGGGCAAGAATGTGTGTCAGGTTTATGTGGAGTCCCCTAGGTTATATGCTGTGGATGTGTGATGGATTTTCTTCATGTTCATGCTATGTCTGTTACAAGTGTGCTGATTGCACACCATTCTCTGTTACTTTGTTCACTGTTCGTTGTTATCGTCATGTGATGGTGAATGTTTGAAATGACAGGGTTTTGGCGAGCAGCTAGCTGGTGGAGCAAAGCAAGATGTTAGTGCTGTTCTCAAGCAGGTGAGTGTTCGTTTTTTTTTTTTTTTTTTTTTTTTTTCAATTTGTTAACTGAACTGTACGAGGTCAATCCCTTCCCATGAAAGTCATTGCCGCCTTATGTTATGATGTAGGCGGTTGAGACTTCACATTGGAGAATGTCATTAAGACTTTCTAGAATGTGTCTGACTGCAAATTTCGTAGAAGTTTGCATGGGGTAAGCCCTACAAATCCTACAGTGGGAGTTGCCCTCATGGTTGTTTCTGTATTCAACGAGTTTCGGTTGGATTCCAGAAATACTGCGGCAAGAGGATGGGTAGTGGTCGATCACACCATATGCAGTTTTTCCAGTTTGGAAAGGAGATGCGGCTTGGCATACATTATTATGTTGTAAAGACAACAACGTTGTACTCGAATACAGCGTGCGTACATTATGTTCGAACGCAAAACCAGCGATTTCTGAAATCCCGATCTCCAGAGGTAATTCGAATAAAAGGTACGGACATTTGTTTCGGGTTAAGAAGGTAGTAATGCTTCATCCTCCGGTGCTTAGCTTTGAAAAGGTGTGGCTACTGGATATTCTCGATTGGATAGTGCATATATGAGAAATTGGATGGGGTGCATGTATGAAAAATTGAAGCGGAAGCAAGGAAGATCGTTTCAACTGCGACTGCCGAGTATTGAACTGGGGATACTAATTCCTCATGCTTTTTTAGTCTCTAGCTGTCTGCATGGGGCTCAGTCCGTGTCATGTTTCTGGTCGCAGGAGAGAGTCGTCAAGATCGTGGTTCTGTCCTTTGATTACTTCCTGGAGGCCGCGGCTGCCTGGCTGGAACTGGGTTCTTCCCAGACAGAGAACCTTCTGGACTGAGTACCAGGGCCCCAGCCTCTGCAGCTAAATGGAAAGCTGGGGCTAGCGGTTAGTTGAAGAGCCTGCCCCCAGCCTTCCTCCCAACTGCCTCATGCCAGCCTGCTGTTAGGGCAGGCGGATCCTTCTTCTTTTTGCGCCTCCCTTGGCTATAAGGCCGGGCGGCCTGGGCTTGAATTTCCTGGGCGGTCTGGTGGAGGCCTGCCAAGGCTTGGAGCCTAGCAAATGGGTATGTCTGATATGTAAGCTCTTAATAGGTATATCGAAAGCGGGTGGGGGGGGTGAGGGGAGGGAAGAGGAATTTGTACTTCCCTGTCTTAATGTGATCTGAAAAGTGTCTTGCTTCTCTCATGCTGTGTGGTTGTGGTTGCCATTGACATTTTGTGAGCTTTCTAGAAAATGATCGTGCCTTCATTTTCTAATCGGCTTTGCATTTGCTGTTTGTTGGGCTTCTAGGCTCTGGGAGAAGTGCTGGGAATCTTACAAAGATTGCCGAGGAACAAAGCCCTGCGCTCAAAGGTATGATGTGCTATCTTGTCTCCCTCTTTCCGTTTGCTACTTGGTGTATTTACTATTTTGTGTGTGCCTACGACTTGGGCGGCCAGACCGCTGTTCAAAACTCCGCAACTGTGCTTGCTTATGTGGATAACAACATGAAGACAGATGACCTGTGACAGAAAAGTGAGCGAGTTATTGAGGTGGATGTAGAGGTGTGCTGGACAGGCTTGGCCAGGCGTGGGATTAGAGACTGCATGGCAGTGCGGACACCCCTGCAAACCGTGCATCTGGTTTGGAGAAGCAGCCCTTTCTCCATTTGTTCATCTTTTTATACTTTTTCCTCTTTTTGACTCCGTTGTACAGGCAGTTCAATGCATCCAGTCTACAAGGCAGGTTAATGCAACCAGTCTATGTTGTGGACAAAGAGACCATACTGTCCATCATGAACTGGAGGTGCATTCGTAGAGGGCCCAGGGGTGATGTCAGGGGGTGAAATGAGGTTGATGTTTGGTGGATGGGAGGTGATTTGTTGCTGCAGTGGCTTAAAACTTAAAAGTGAAGGTGGTACAGGCCCCACATCCTAAAGCCACGGTCTGAACTGCAGTCTTCGTGGGCAGGGTTTAGTAGGTTTCCAAATATTTTACCTTCCACCTCTCGAGTGCCACTTGTTACCACTATCATATCGACTGGGAAAGGTTGGTAGCAAGTATTAGCAACACTGCAAGAGCCTCTTTGTGGTAGCAAGTATTAGCAACTGCAAGAGCCTCTTTGTGATTCTCAAACTACCATGGAGGCCTTTTGTCAGGCCACATGGCTGTTGTGGGTAGGTGTACCAAACTGGTAAGAGGTGGGATGTTGCTTCGAAAGTGAGGTCTCTGAGTCAGTCAGATGTAGTGGTGGTCTATGGCGTTTTGACGAACTCTGTGATCAAGTTATCATCAATATCCATGAGCTCGTAATGAGCTCGTAAGGTCCATCCGCCATCCCTTGCACCAATGGCCTCTCTACGCATCTGTTGTAAAAAACTCTCGGCGAACTTATAAATAAGAAATAATGCGCACAGGTCAGAATGAGTCAAATAAGGGCGCGAAGGCCACTCTGGCTTATGTATTTATTTTATTTATATGATAATAAGGCAACTCGAGTTGGAGAGCCGTGGGATGGGCAACCATTCATGCAGCTCTTCTTGAGTCTTGATCTCCCCATGGAAGTAAACATGGGAGAATCTCTTTGTGAAAGGATGAACATGCCAATGATGTTGCCTGCCTTTGTTTGCCTCCCAAGGGGAAAGAAGGGATTGCATCTTCTGCCTGCTTTCTGAAATGCACAAGTGACCCGGCAACCGTGATATGAGGAGAGCTGTAGACCTTGATGTTCAGCTAAGCGATACGTGAAATTGGCATGCTGGATATTCTATTGTTCCCTTGTTCCCTTGAATATGTGCACTTGTCTATATGCCATACTGTTGTGATGTTTTGCACCGAGTAATTGTAGCTCTGAGGTCAGGAGGTGGTTCTGTTGACCTCAATTGTGTTGCTTTGGTTCAACTGAAATATCTGCAGGTGATCTCTTTCCTTCACAGGATGGTGGAGTGCCTTGGGAGTGGCATTTCGCCAGTGCTTCCCATTGCGATTCAGCAACTCCTCGTAGATTGTGAGGTAGGGCTGTTGCATTTTCCTTGTTTTTTTCCTTGCAGCTTGTGATTGTTGTTCCTCATGCTTACAGTCTGGACTTTCCTGTCTCCTTCCTAGAAACCAACATTCATGGTGGAACGGTAGAACCTCTGGGGTGTCACTGCGCTTTGCTCCCATTAACTTTGTGCTCGTTTTGCTCCTTGGTCTGCACTCTACATGTGTTTTGGTATTTGTGTTCGTGTTCTTTTACATGCAAAGTTGATTCTGAGCGGAAATAGCTTAATGGAAGAGTGCAGCCTTCTCAATAAGGCTACGGTCGAGGGTTCGAGTCCCTTGTTCCGCCCATCAGCTTTGTGTCCATTTTGTCTCTGCTCCGTGGGGGTAAAAGCGAGGGCACCACATCTGCTCCCCATTGGGGTAAAAATGAGGGCTGTGTACTCCCACGCTAGCGATTTTGCTGGCTTGTAGGTTTGGTCGGGTTTCGTCTTGCATGTGGAAGAGGTATTCTGTGCTCGTAGGTGTAAAATGGAGGTTTCGTTTACTCTCTCTTACAGTATTGCATCCCTGCCGACCACCGACCCCGACCGCTGACCGTATTGCAGCCGACCATTTGGGCCTACCGGTCGGCAGTCTGCCGACCAGTAATTAAAAAAAAAAGAAAAAGAAAAAAAGAAAACGTACACTGATTTTGTTTTCAAATCTGCGTTCGGGGCTGTACTGCGCGCCGAGTACAGCCCAAATCGGCTGAGAAACTCTTGGGGATGGGGGGGGATATGGGGGGGGTTGGGGTTGGAGTATAGGGGGGTATAGGGGGGGTGTAGGGGGTATTGGGGCCCGGGGGGGGCCAGGGGGTAATGAGGGTGTTGGGGCCGGTTTGGGGGGGTGTATGGGGGTATTGGGGGACGTTATGGGGGTGTTGGATGTGTTATTGGGGGTTCTGGACCCCCCCCCCCAAAAAAAAAAAAACTCTGGGTGCCTTCGACCCCTGCCCGATAGGTGCCGACCAGCCGATTGGTCGGTGGGTCGGCAGCCGACCAGTCAAGGGCCGCCGACCGTCGGGGGGTGCAACAGTGCTCTCTTAGAATTTTGCTGGCTTGTAGGTTTGGTTGGGTTTTCAAAACAGGGTGCGCAGGAAAAAAGTGGTGGTTAAACTGGGCGGCTGTTGTCAACTCAGCCTCTTAATTAGCAATGTAGGTTGGGGCTAGGGTTGCATTGTCCTTATTATGGGTGTGCAGCCCTTGGAACACGCGATTCAATTCCAGCGATGCTGATATCGTGGTTTTCCCGCATTGCTTTTTCATGCTTGATCTAGCAGACAATGGGTGTGTCGAGTGTATCGGTGGTTTGGTGGTTATGATATGATGTGATTACGGGAATTTTAGTGCGTGGAATGCAGGATGCAGCATCCATTGTTGCTCTATTCAGCTGAGGTAAGAATGTGACTCACCCAAGAGAGTCAATGGAGCCGCCACGACAAAAGAGGGTCAGCGAAAGAGCGTGCTCCAGGAAAGGGGGCATTTCACTATTTCGGAGCCCGCCTCGAGAAGGTTGCTTTAGGGTGGTCAGATTCACATGCAGGTGCTACATGGGGACAAGCAAACATGCTATTGGCCACATATACTGACAGATCAATGTCTGCGCAGGAACGAACCACAAAGAGTCCATGCGAAGAGCATGTATGCAGAGGACAAGCTCAATCAAGAGGCAAGGGTGACCGCAGTGGCATTGATTTCTGTTTGAGAACCTTCTTTAATTTTGGGTAACTGATTTTCAACTTGACCTGAAACTGTTGATGAAGCTTAGTGAGGTGGTGTGAGGAGCTAAAAAAGGCTGGTCTCTTCTCTCGTAGGCAGACCCCTAAGAGCTCTTGGTATGCGCGAAGAGCACTTGCAGATGCCAATCTGATATTGAGTTGTCAGTTTGCCGTGTGTCGCGCAGAGGTAGTTTGGTGCCCATAGCATTCATCAGATTTGATCTGTTGGGAACAAGGGCATGAATCTACAGGTGCTGAGTCTGCTGAACAGTAGGTTGGCAGACATTTGAAGGAAATAGGTGTTGCCCCCAAATTTAATTCGCAGGCTTTGGGCATAGGTTGTTTTTTATCCTTGCTTGGTTTATCAGGTTTTGTGGTAGTGGCTAGAGGATGCCCACCTCCATAGATGTCTTTCCAAGTCGGCGAATTAGCTTGACTGGTGAGGGTAAACAACGATATGGTACCAGTAATGCCTTTCCAAGTTGGCGAATTAGCTCGACAGGTGAAGGGTAAAGAACGATATGCTACCGACGGTAAGTGTCAAAGGTCCGTAAGGGTTAGCACCCTCTGTCACCTTTGTCTGTGCTGAGAAAACATGAATCTGGAGGTAGAAGTGAGTAGATCGATAGCATCTAAGTACGAACCTTGCACTCGTGGGTGTGGCCACTCTCGTTGCAATCCATCAGCGGCCTGCTGCAAGGGCTTTTTTTCATTTAATGGAAAGAGCCAGAAGTGCACTTGAACTGAGGCCCGTGCTCTGCTCGTGTATGCAGCTGTCATAGGAGAACTTGATGCTGCTTTGCATTTGCATCAAATCTGATGGCGTGGCACTCTCCGATCATTCTGTGGGGAGCCCAAACTACATTTGCGCTTGGTTTTAGACTCTGGTTGGATCTGCGTTAGGGTAGGTAGGTGACCAGGGTAGTTGAAAACCCAGGTCAAAGGTAAGCTGGGTGGGCTGTGGCCTTTCGGCCTCAGAGCAGTGCTCTTGATGAATGACGTTGTTTGGGAGTCTTTTCATCTTCCGGGTGAGAGATTCAGATGGGTAAGAAGGGGTGAGTTCATGTTGTTAGAGAATAAATTAGATCTCGTAACTCGTTCAGTTTGATGGTGAACGGTTCTAGAAGTGAATTGTTCAGTGACCACATCTTTCCTCTCATTTGCCATGGCTACTCAGTGTATCAGCAGCAAAGTATATGATATTGTAGTTTCTAATGGCTTTATTAAAGTTTATTTCTGTTCTCCCCTACCTCATGTTTGGGACTAGAGTTTGTCTCTCTCATATGGGAACCACAATTTGGAAACAATTTATTTATTTTTGGAAACAATTTGTTATTGAATGCATGTGACTTTTGGATGGATATCTATTATGCTGTGGAAGGCATAATACCAAGCTGCTTTCCCCTCTCTCTCTCTGTGTTTATGCTACCTCTCTACTTCCAACCCTCTTTCGATCAGTCCCTGTAGTTCCCTTCTGTGCTTTTGGTGTCCACGTTTGTGAGCGTTCAAAAATTTTGTTTGAGGTTATCGGACCGTTATCCAGTTGATGAATCAGCTCGTTAAAAAGTTCTGTTTCCGTTGTGTGGTTTTTGTGTTTTTGGTTGGTTCTGTGTTTGCAACTTTGCATGCAGTCCAGAGATTTGTTTGAGTTTATCCAGTTGATGAATCAGCTTGTTAACAAGTTCAAGGGTGCAATGATGGGCATCTTAAATGAAGTCGTCCGTATAGTCCTGGGACGAGTGTTCGAGTTTTTATCAGAAGGGATTACATCTGATGGATTGGCAGCAAACACAGAAGTACGTGTCCTCTCCTCCTGCCTCTTTCTTTCCCAGCATGCACATGGAATCTTGCCTTGTTGATGTGCATATCTGCTCCCTCGCGTTCCCTTACCTACCTATAGCTTGCAGTTCACTTCGATCACCACATCTGTAGTTAATACTGATGCTGAGCAGAGTTGTTAAAGCTTCTGTGCAGTCAGGTATGCTGTAGCCATGGCTGCAGGGCTGGATGATTTCATAACTTCGTAGCCATGATGGAGTTTGATGATTAAGCAACGATGACAATGAGCCAGGCTTTGCAAATATGCATGCGTGGATATTTCCCGTGAACTGTCGTAATCCTTCAAAAAGATAGATATAGCCGTGCTACACAGTCTCTTGTGACACTCTCATAATCTTTTTGGGTGTCTACCAGGGTTGCATACCTGCCGACAGCCGACGTATGAGCGGCACTTGTGATGTTTTTTTTTTTTTTTCCCCTGTGCCTGCCCCCTGCCGGGTATGATTTCTTTGTGTGTTTGGAAAACTGCCGCTCTGGCGGTTCTCAGGAGTGATCGTTGATATGCTGGGGGATATAGAGTATTATAAAGTAATATAAACGTTTCTAAAGTTGGTTTTTTATCTACTCGTAAACAAGGAAATTCTGTTTTATGAATCCTATGAAATTGTAAATGAAATTTATGTGCAATGATCTGTTTCGAAATTTTGATGAAGGTTTGGAATGGCGAGGGGGTGTAACGCATATGTTTGACTTTCTTGAAATTTTGCACGCTTGAATATTTTGGTGAAGGTTCGGTATGGTGAAATCATATGCTGGGGGGGGGGGTATGCTGAAAAGCCAGGTGCTTTCTTGGTGGCATGTGCAGGAGGTCAGGGAGCGGCGAGAGCTGCAACGCATATATTTCACTTTCTTGCAGAGCATCACTGCCAATGATCTATCATCTGTGTTCATAACGCCACAAAACAGCGGATGTCTGAATGACGTTGTCAGCTCCCTCCTACAGGGTGCATGTGATCATGCAGAGGTGCCTGTGCGGAAGGTGAGTTGTGAGAGGATTTGATGAAGGGCATGAGTACAGCAGCATGTTCAATTGCCATTCACCTTTTGCTAGCAGTTATGAACTGAGCTGTACAGCAGCATGTTCAATTGCCATTCACCTTTTGCTAGCAGTTATGAACTGAGCTGTATGTCTGTGATGAGGTGGTCTTGAACTGATGCAACAGGGTTGTCTCTTTGTGCCCCTAGGGCCCTAGCGTAAATATTTGGGCACCCACCAATTGGCCTAGCTCAGTTGGTACACCCGTGAACTGTCAAACAGCAGACCTGTGTTCAAATCCCAGCGGAACTAGATGAATGAAAATTCTGAGGTACCTGGGGCCGGTCAGTTCAAAACTACAATATCTCAAGGGCATTGCCCTTTCAAGAAGTAAAACAAGGGAGGGCGGGTAATATCAGGGTACCTAGGAGGAAGAAGAATCCAGAGTTGACAATGCAGTCTTTGTCATTTCTTTGACTAGCTCAACTCCTGGACGTCGAACCTTTTAGCTATAAGGGGGTGTTGTTCGGGGAGGTTAATATTAGGGCACCTAGGAGGAAGAAGGATCCGGAGTCGACAATGTGTGATAACTTTGTCGTTTCTTTGTCTAGCTCAACTCCTGCATGTGGAACCTTAGCTAAAATATTTTTCTCTTGACAGTCGGGACTTTGTAATGTCTTGCCTTTTCACAGTTAGCCTCTGTGCGTCGCAGTTGAAAAAAATGTCTTGCTCTTGACAGGTGGGCGTCTGCTGTTGTTATCGAGAGTCACAAAGCCTCGTACGTGTCCTGATGACCTTTGTACAGTCCTTTTTTTGTGCACCTTTTCATTGGTGCTCATACAGGTTTTACTGTGGTCGTAGCGTTTTACTGTGCACCCCTGTACTGCAAAGTGTCACGATTGTGTCTATCTTTCTTTGTCTGTTTGTGGTGTGCATCAGCAGATCTGTGTTCAAGCCCTGATCAGATTGGCTAGCGAGTGGTGTGAGCAACCTGAGAAGGTGAGAACGCTAGGTTAGCCCTCTCTCTTCTCTACAAGAGCTGCGTTTCTTCCGTTAGCCCTCTCTCTTCTCTACAAGAGCTGCTTTTCTTCCGTTTTCTTTACGTTTTTTTGGATATACTTCCCAGTGGTAATTGCCAAGGTAATTGTCACTTGGGTCGTCCCCTCCCTTTCCAATTTGTGTAAAATTGAATAGAAATCGACGTATCCATTTAAGGGTATTATCTGTTGTTTTCCACCGGTTTCAAGTGGCTGCTCAAAACATGATTCCCCACACTATAAGAACAACTGATATCTGAAAACTCTGTCCGGGACAACAAGGAGAGAATATCATTCGCTGCCTAGTTTTTTTTTCTCTGTTTTTTTTTTCGTTGAGCTGTCTTTTCCTCACATGGGGGACAGCTGTATTCGCTACGCTATTTTGAATTTTCTTATCTCAATATTTTTTCCACCTCACAGTAGCTACCCAGATACCTCGCACTATCGTACCTACGTATCTGGGATGGCGAATTTCACATTTTTGGTGACATCACCTATCCACGCTGCTCTCTAAACCCTCAACGGCACTCTAGGTGGCCTAAGCCTATGTCTATCCACTGTACACCTCACGGTAACTGCCANTCTCTAAACCCTCAACAGCACTCTAGGTGGCCTAAGCCTATGTCTATCCACTGTACACCTCACGGTAACTGCCACAGGGAATTGCTACCTAGGGGAATTGCTAGAGGGAACCCACCCATATCTGTCCACTATGCTCTTGTGCAGGGAATCGTACCCAGGTTCCTAACCTCTAGCGAGGGCTGGCAGGATTCCTGAGTGGCTGCCAAGCCCGCATCCAAGGGGGGCAAACGAACTCTCTCAGCCAATGAACCCGAAGTGCACTGCAGGGGGCCGTGGGGAATCAGACCGACGACCACCTGAATGCCACTTGTGCACTCTACCAACTGAGCTAGGCCGCTGGCCCCTCCACTGCCTAACTAACTGTAGAGAAGCGTCCTTTAAAATTGTAACGATAAACAGGAGATTAGCTTTGCCCCTGCCCAAGGTTGAAAAAAAAAAGGGCTGTAGAGAAGCGACAGACATGTGGGCAAGACGTAGTGAACTACGGACTTGCTGTTTTCCCTCGACCCTTCCAGAACATCCTCTCTAACTTATCGGTTGAACTAACATCCCGTCCAACCTTAGAATCCCGAAAGGTCGTGGTTCGTTATTATTAAAGAAGCAATGCTTGCGGTAATTTGGAAAGAAACTTGCAGCACCATGCAGGATGACACACAGCAACAGAGGGAGGGTTTGGTCTTCTACTGAAGACATGATTGAAGTGGAAATCAGAGTGACATCGAGAGTTTCAGATCCAAACAGAACCGGAAGAGGGAGAACGGTTGTCATGGGCAGCCAAGTGCATTCTCGGGGAGATGAAAGTCCAATATGGACGTAGAAATGGAGACCAATGATTATCTGCTCGTCTTGCAATCCTTGAGCAGAATGTGTATTAGGCAGCCAGCCCAAAAAGCTTATGGTGTTCAGTAGGCTACGCTATCCTCGAACGAGAAGGGTGGAATGAGTCTCACTCAAACCATCGTACTTGCTCAGGAAGGATTTAGATTGGCGCTCCCTGGAATGGAAATGGAGCCAGGTCCATAAGGGCCTGTTTTATTTATTTATTAAACCACCACTACCTCCGATCCTGTTTTTGCCGAACCTGAATTTCATTGTGCACCGAGTTTTGCCCAGCCTGGGTCCCATTCTTATTTCTAGACTGGTACTCACGAAGAAAAAAAGAAACTTTCCCACATGCCGTGATAGCTGTCAGATACTATGAGGTGCTGGTGAGACTGTGCGCTCAGTTAGGGCATCTGTCGGTATGAAAAACAACTGAAGGACAAAAAAAAAACTTCCCTTATGCTGCTATCGCGGTCCAATACAGGATGCTACAGTGCAGGTGTGAGTATGACTTGGGTGAGGCAGTTGGCTGCCCCCAGTGGAATCTGCCCTGCCTAGCGGGCAGGGCACCAACGAGGTATGAAAAAACGAAAACAAAAACCAAAACATAAGCAACGACGTTCCCCACATGCTGGCCAGATACATTCGTCAGAGCACTGGTGTGACTTTCACGTCCTGAGGGCCTTCCCGAAGTCGTTGGTTTTGAAGTTCGTAATTTTATTTTATATTTATTTATTTTTTTTACTGCGGGACCACGAGGTCCCAATCGCTCATGCATAAAATCTTTTTTATGTGGTCCGATCCTATTGGACCAAGGCGCAGATCGTAGCCTGAATGGAAGATCCGGCCTGCCGCTTCCTGCCAGGCCGACAACGTGAATCGTCTTGATCTTAAGATTTAAGAGCACAGGATGCGACTCTCCTGTTTTGCACTACTGGTTTTTCCATCCTTTTCTGTCAGCCCTACCGGTGAACCGTTTGTTGCTGCCCCAGCACCGCATGGTGCTGCCCGCCGTGGGTGTTTATGTTAAAAATTGTTTGCTGCTGCCGTTCCCATTGGGCCATGGCCCGGATTGTAGCCGGAATGGAAGATCTGGCGCATTGCTTCCTACGGGGACGACGACTGAGATTGTATTGATATTAAGATTGGAGAGCACACAATTGTTGGAATGACTCGTCTCAATCTGCTCCATGTAGCTTGCTATAGAGGTAAACAGTTTCGTTGTCGGAATGGCTCATCTCGAGCGTGCTTCATTGTCTGCTATCGAGGTCAAGCTGCATGGATTTTGGATCTACTCATGTGGGTGGTGTAGGGGCTGTTGTAGGGCAAATCTAGAACACACGCACTCACAAAGAGCATGGGCTGGCTGCCTTTTTTGTGAAGGTAAATATGTGGATGGGGGCAAGCACGGGCTGGGGTGGGCACAGGGGTGGGGAGCACCCGGGGGCGGGGGATGGAACGCGAGCGGGGCTGGGGGGGAAGAGCGAACTGGGGGTTCGCAGGCCCCAGTGGTTTGAAGTTTTTTCCGGCCCTTCCAAAGCACTTTTTGGGGAAAGAGGAGTGGACCTCCGCATTACACCTCACATACCCCAGGGGGTCTGGGACTCTGGGGGTTGGCGCTCCTGGCACGGAGGTGCGGGGATCAAACCACAATCTCGGCTTGGCCACCAGGGATCCCCGCGTGACAACGCTGGCAATGGCCGTTTGTACACCCTGTGGGCAGCTCTGCTGCATTTGTAACTGTTGGATTGTACTCAATGACACAATCTATATGACATCTCCTGCGAAAAATAACACCCTTTGTTGGAAACCGGTGTAGGCGGACACACTTTCAAACTAGACATGATGGCCAAAATGCTGAGTAGTTTACAACAGAACGTATCAACCAGGCCAACTAGGCACAACATTTTCTGGAACCGCTACTAGATTGCTTCTGCAAAATGATAATGAGGGAGTTCTAAAAATATGGTGAGGGAGTAGATAGAGAGAAGGGGAGAGAGAGAGAGAGAGGGAGAGTCTCTCTCTCTCTCTCTCTCTCTCTCTCTCTCTCCCCCCCCACATACACACTGCTCTGCATCTCTCCCTTCTTTCTCAGACCGACTCTCTCTCTCTCTCTCTCTCTCTCTCTCTCTCTCTCTCTCTCTCTCTCTCTCTCTCTCTCTCTCTCTCTCTCTCTCTCTCTCTCTCTCNCTCTCTCTCTCTCTCTCTCTCTCTCTCTCTCTCTCTCTCTCTCTCTCTCTCTCTCTCTCTCTCTCTCTCTCTCTCTCTCTCTCTCCGCCCCCCACATACACAGAGGCACATCACGTCTAGGGTGTTTTGTATTCAATGTGCTTGCCTGATTAGTTGTGCGTGCACACACAACTACAGCTTTTGGCAGATAAGCCATTCGCCGCCATCATCACACACCAGGTTATCCAACCTTGCCCACTCCGCCTGACCTGTCCTCGCTTTGCAGCAGCCAGCTGCATGTCATTGTGCTGCCACTCAGCCACATCCTTCCTTACAGCAGTCCCTTTTGCTGCTGCTATCTTCTGCAATGCAACGCCGTATTTCACTTCTGGCCTCGGTATCAAATAAGTCTAACTCAACAGCGCCCTCACTTCAACTCCTCCCTATATCACTCACTAACTTGCTTCTACTGTGCCGGCTTTTGTTTCTTGAAATACTAGTTCTGATGCGTGCAAAGCCGCATTGGCATTTTGTGTTTTTTCCAGATTTTCTGTGCTGCATTTTTGCTGGTTCTGTGATAGCTCATCTAGCAGGAATGGTAAGCCACTTTGGACCATTTCGTTTGGTCAAGGTTGTGCTCTTAGAGGCAACTGGTCAGCAAAAACTAATGAGGGTTTCATCCTGTGTGGGTGTGGGTGTGTGGGTGTGTGKGTGTGTGGGTGTGTGGGTGTGTGGGTGTGTGGGTGTGTTTGTGTGTGTGCATTATACATGTTCTTGCGCATGCTTGTCTTACGTTTGGTCAAGGTTAGAGGCAACTGGTCA